AGTCTTGGCACATCTCCGAAACTGAAACGGCCGTAACAGATATGCAGGGAAAGCCACAGGCTGCTGGTAGTGTTCTACGAGGAGTCGACGTGCCGTTCAGATGTGCACCGAGAATCTCTACTACGCGTTGAATCAAGTATGCAGTCGAGCTCCGGCTCGAGCCCTCGAGCCTCGAACCTCGAACCTCGAACCTCGAACCTCGAGCCTCGAACCCTCGAGCCTCGAGCCTCGAACCTCGAACCTCGAAGCATCTCGACGGTGTCAGGGATATATGCGGGGAGCCCCGCGCCGCCCACGGCGTCAGGTTGCTGTACGAGCTCCTCTTCGCCAGCGGCGCCTCGCGCGGCGATGCGGTGGGGGACGAAGAGGAGGGAGGGAGGGAGGGAGGGAGGAGGAGGAGGAGGAGGAGGAGGAGTAGGAGGAGGAGGAGGAGGAGGAGGAGGAGGAGGGAGGGAGGGAGGGAGGGAGGGAGGGAGGAGGAGGAGGAGGAGGAGAGGAGGAGGAGGAGGGACGGGGGGGCGAGAGTGATGTGAGATACTGGAGAGGTGCGCGAGGGGAGAGGAAAGGGGGCAGATGGGAGAACAGGGGAGGGTGATGATGATGATGCCGATGCTGATGCTGATGCTGCTGCTCATGATGATGGTGATAACGACGATAATGATGATGGTGATGATGATGATGCTGCTGATGATGATGATGCTGATGATGATGATGATGATGATTCTCCCGCTCGCGCGCTAGCGAGCTGTCTCCGAGCGCGGCCGCGGCTCGCGCGCGCGGGGCGGCCCAAAATGGGCAGGCCCGTCCCGCGCGCTCGTGCCGGGGCGCCGCGCGTCAGGCGGGGGAGACCGCCTGCTCGCCGACGACGGCGAGGCAGCGCCCATCAGCCTTAGATTGGGAGAGGAGGGAGGGGGGCAGAGAAGCTGCGGAGACAGCAGGAGCTTGCTCACAGAGAATAGAAGAGGCATTCTCCCGCTCGCGCGCTAGCGAGCTGTCTCCGAGCGCGGCCGCGGCTCGCGCGCGCGGGGCGGCCCAAAATGGGCAGGCCCGTCCCGCGCGCTCGTGCCGGGGCGCCGCGCGTCAGGCGGGGGAGACCGCCTGCTCGCCGACGACGGCGAGGCAGCCATACCCGTGCTCAAGGACCTTGCGAAGTGACAAGGTTTCGGCGGGCGGCCGCAAGTAGGGCAGGCCAAGCGGCGGGGCCGACTTGGAGAAATGAAGCGACAAGGCGGTCGCTGGCGGTGGCGAAGAACAGGATCCGCGCCCGTGCGGGCACGGGCAGCGCAGCAAGAACTGTGGAAGCGGCGGCGGCTTGCAGGTAGCGCTCAGCACTGGAAGCCTGACGCCAACGCCCCCGCCAGAAGACGCGAGGGACGTCTTCCGTAGCGATATAGAAGTCTGTTGCGCCAGAGCCCCGCAGACATGCGGGCGTCAGGTTGAGCCCCTGACCCGCTTTGGCAAGAGGGACGCCCAGGGCCGAAAGCAAATGATTCCACCGAGTACGGAAGCCGCTCGCACCGAAAGGGGCGAGAGGATCGGTGGAAGCCAACCGCCCAAACACTTGATTCAGAATCTTCACCGTGCCCCGATCGGAGCAGCGAGCATGCTGCGTCGGGTACGTTCTCCTGGTCTTTGGAACAAGAATCGAAAGAAAAGCATCCCCTTCAACTTCGAGGCGGTCGCAAGGAAGCGACAAGTCACAGCGGCGTGACGCCAGCAGCTCGCCAGGCCTGAGGAACATCGCAAAGCCCATGAGCAGCAAGGCCGCCATCACAGGCCAGTCCCAGGCGAAACAGAGACCGACCATAGCGCGCAGCAGAGCGCGAGGTAAGGGCGGGCGGAGCTTTGGCGGCTCCGCGAGCTTCCATTGTTTCGCTACGTCCCAAGCTTCTGTTAGAAAGGCCTTCCAATGCGGATGAGCGCTCTGGATTCCCAAGATGGCATGAACCAGAATATAATGAGGGAAACCTGCATCATGAAGCCACACGCCGAAGGTCGCGAGGAAGCGGGCGAGAAGTAGCCCGCTACGGTAAAGAGTGGCGGGCGGCACGCCAGTGTGTTCTGCTAACCACAGTTCGAACGCATCAATCGATCTCGAGCGACGATCGAGATACGCGGAGGTGAGGTGAGAATCGCGCACGAAGGGAGTGCGCGGAGGGCGAGCGGGCGCGGAAGGCGCAGCCCGACTAAGCCCTTGGCCTGCGGTCGGCGCCGCGGCTCCCAGAGAGATGCAGAGGCCGCAGACGCACCACAGGATGAGCGCAGGGCGGCCAGGGCTGGGAGAGCTGATCAGCGTGGCGGCCCTCCTGCTCCTGGACGCGTAGAAGGGCGGAACGAGGGTGTCCCGCCCGTCGGTCTCGAACCCCGACGCCTCCGCCAGCATCGCCCGCGCCGAGGTGAAGGATCCGCCCATGTTACGGTGAGCACGGCGAGCCCCTGCTTCGATCTCGGCGGGCAGAGCGCCCCCTCCCTCGAGGGTCGCCCAGTCAAAGGGCGGGCGCGGCTCGGCGCGCGCAGCTGCGGCCGATTCGGCGAGCTCGGAACGAGCTGCCGAGGACGTGAGGCCCGAATGATGTGGAACGGGCACCACCTCCGCGAACGCGTCGAGGATCTCGGACGGAGGGGAATGAGATCCCCACAGCGCTGCTGGGATGGCGCCGTGACCGTCCTGCACGTGGTACAGAAGGTCGAAAAGGCAGGCCAACTTGCCCGCGCGCCTCCTGTGCTCGATCTTTGAGCCGAGCCCGATGCCACGGATGGCGCCCGCCCCCATGGCTTGGAGGTCAGCGCCCGCGGGGATAGCCTCGGGCTCGACGGCGGCCACGTAAGGATGCAACCACGAGGCTTCGTCGATCGGCTCGGCGCCGCCTGTCTGAAACAGGCGCTTATAGGCGTGCAAGGCCTGCAGGAGGCAGTGCAGGTCATCTCTGCCCTCGGGCTCGGCGGCCCCTGCGGGTGCGAAAGACCTCAGCCACGACGCCGCGCTCTGGAAGGCAGCTTGCCAGGCGGGTCCCCACCTCACCACTGTGACCTTCTCACCGCCGAGGTTGAGACGCCACGCTAGGGCGGTGGCGGCCCCTGGAGGCAAGGGCTGCTCAACGGCCGCGGAGGCCGTGCGCCGCGCTGCGAAGGCTGCAGCCGCGGCGCTCCCAGCGTCGCCGCTGTGGGAGCCGCTGGGATGCAGCTCGTGCCCTGAATCTCGGCCAGGCGCGGGGCCGCTCGAAGACCCCCTTTCCTCGGCGGCACGCCCTCCGCCCTGCGGGGCCGCAACAGCATCGCTGGAGGAGCGCGTGCCTACCGAAGACTGAGGGGCCTGAGCAGCGGAGTCCGCGCGGGAGCTGCCTGCGTGGGCGTCGCCCGAGCTCGCACCATGGCGGGACGTGGCTGGCCGCTGCGCAGTAGCGGGGCTCGGGCGCCGCTTCGGAGCGACTCGAGGGGAGCGCACCTCGCGACGCCGAGGCGACGTCGCCTGACGCGAAGGCGCGCGAGAGGAGCCGCGCGCGACGGCCCGACTAAGCCCCTGGCCTGCGGTCGACGCGCGGGATCGCGACGCCGCACGCCCACCAGAGTGGTGAGGGGGCGGCGGCGGCGGCGGGGGCACGGGCCGCGGAGTCTCGGAGCCTACACGCGCGCCGCGGCCCCGAGAGCGACTGCGAACCGAGGCGCGAGCGGCGGGCGGAGAGGCCCCCGAGCGGCGAGGGAAGGCCGCCTGCAGGCGGCGGAGGACCTCGGGGTTCAGGCCCGCCACGACGCGCTCGAGGTCCATCGAGGAGTCTGCGAGGGCACTCAGCACGACGTCCTCGAGCTCCGTCGGAGAGTCCTCGTCGCACGCGGGCTCCGCTCTCGAGCGGCTGCGAACGCTCGCGGGCGGGGACCCGTCAGGAGTGTGCGGGCCCTCCGATGCCTCCCCCGCAGGCGGCTCCGACGGCTCCTCGGGCGAGATCGGGCCGTCGACGGGAGGCGACGAGCAGCCCCCCGAGGGAGAGGTGCGGTCGGTCCCGTACGGGTTTGGAGACCGCGTACGGCTGCGGGCAGGGCTGCGGCTCCGCGGTGGGGAGCCCACTCCCGCGGCGGAGCTGGGGCGTGCCGCGCCTGCCCAGCGGCGCGCATTGGCAGTGCGACGCGCCCTGCGGCCAGGCGCCGTGGCGGCCCCCCCCTCAGGGGCGGGGAGCGCCGCCATCGAAGCCCGCCGCTGCCTGGCGGCGCGCCTGGTGCGCGCGGCGCCCGTGCGCGAGGCGGAGTGCGGCGCGTGACCACCGCGGTTGGGCTGGTCCTCGACCGCTTCATCCCGCGGGCCCAGGCGGGCGCGGACCGCGCGCCGCTCACGACGGCTGAAGCTGGACGCAGGGTCGTCGGCGGGCCTTGCCAAGGCGCGCGGGTCCTCAGCCTCCACCTCGGCCAAGGAGCGGCCAGTGGACGACGCGGGTGCGTCCCCAGCACGAGCGGCACGTTCTGCGATGGCGAGGCCCGTCGAGACCTCAGCGTTGTGCAGGACGGCGCGCAAGGTTTTGCGCCAATCCCGACCCAGCTGGACGGGAGCAGTGCGCGGCAAGCCCGCGGCCTCTCGACTGGCGGCCTCGCGCACGCGTCGGAAGTAGGCGCGATCGGCCATCCCTTCCGCGAGCTCGGCACGAGCGACGGCACGCTCTCCTTCGCCGCGTGCAGGAGCCTGCACCGTGCGCCTGGTGGCGTCGGCACGCGCGGTGCGGAGTGCGTCGAGCTCCACGCGGCCGCGCGACACGGCGGAGACGAGGGTGGCATCCGACTCAGCCGCCCGCGTCGCGAGGGCAGACGAAACCCCGCCCCTCGGGAGAGGCGCGCCCGAGGCGGGGAGGGCAGCCCGAGGGGCCAGCTCGGCGCTCGCAAGGGCGACCCGCGAGGAGACCGCCTCTTCGAGCGCCTGAAGGGCCATGGTCGACCCTGGAGCCAGCTTGCCCTTGCGGGCGCCCTTTCCTGCCGCCTTGGCCCGGGCGTAGGCGCGGGCGGCAGGACCGTCGCCGCCCGTGCTAGGAACATCGGGCGGCGCGGCGGCCTGCGAGACGGCCTGGAGCAACACTGACTTGGCGTCACAGAGCTGCTTCCACTTCAGCGCGCGGGCTGCTCGCTCGTCGGCGCCCAGGTGCGCGGGAGTCCTGTCTGGATGGTAGACTAGGGACTGGCGCCTGAAGGCGGCCTCAATTGTGCCGCGCGAGGCCCCGTCCACTACGCCAAGCAGTTGGCGAGAGGCGCTCACCCTGGCCGCTCGCTGGAAGGTGCGGGGGGTAGCTGCTGAGGCCCCCTTTGGCGCTTCCCGCGAGCCGACGCGCGACGAGCCCACCCCGATAGCAGGCGGAGGGG